AAAATATGTCGCCACGGTTCAGTTTGGATGATAGAGCCTATCACGTTCTTGGAGCTTCTCCCCACAGGTTATCTCTCTAGCCTGGTACTATCAACCGACGCATATCTCATGAGAGATTCATGCTAGGCAAGGTGCATTTCATACTATGATACGACACTATGATCCCAGGTAGCCTTGCCTTGTTCCAGATACTCGCTTCCCTGGGTCAACATAGCGTCTTATCGGCTACACTCTCATCTTATGAGATCAATATTCTCTCAAGATTGATTCTGTATCTGGGGACTGGGTAGTGTGGCTCGAGTTATTGGAATCAATCTGGCTCGGTCACTGGATCCACGTTTGACACATGCTTTTGAAAGAGTGAATGACGATAAGGTCTTACACATGCTGACGGTAACCGACAGTGTCAACGCGAGTCGATTAATATCTCCAAACCTCGGTGAGTACTGCGTGTATAAGACATATCACGAGAGAGGCATGTTTTCTTCTACGGCATTCCTCGGTCAAGATTTGACATTGATGTAATGATGCTGGAGTTCTACTACTTTACCGAAGAACCTCGTTGACGCCAAGCTTTTTTCAGGACGTGGGGGTCCGCTCAAAGACAGAAAACAGCAAGGCTTGAGCAACTTACGAGTCGATCCTACGTCAGGCAAGCAGGCATGTAGACGAGGCATAAAATATAGGCATGAATACCTATCGCCTGCAAAATAAGACCCATTAGCTTGCCTTGTAAGCACATGTGTGCACATAACAATTAAAGAACTGCAGGCGTAAGATGCCAAATTATATTATGTTGTCCTTGCGTCTTGGGCAGGCTCACATCAACTCCTTATTCGATTGTTACCTTTTGATAAAAATTTCTCACTGTCATATTCATACCATACTACCTAATAAGGGATTGACTTGATGCGCCCCGAAGATATTATTGCGCCAACAGATGAATGAAAGGAGATCCCGAGTCGATGCAGTGCCAACAGCATTGAAGTTATATATTTTTAACTAATCGTACGTACATGAGCATAAGGGATGAAAACTTGATAAGTCCAGGGAAGAACGGGAGTAGCCTTGAAGCCAATCACTTTATCCTTCCCTCGAGGATAGCCTCGATTCTTGGGTGATTCGATACTAATATGACCTCGGCCCCGGATTGCGGGACGTTTGAGATGAGCAGTACTACCTCTGTGAGGATACGAAAGGCCACGTACAAGACAAACCAAGTTTGAAGGCATAACTTTTTGAATCGTACTATGCAATAAATGTCCATAATAAAAGTACACACTGTACATGGAATCCGCTACATAAAACTTCCCCACAAAGATAACACTTAAACTTCCCTTCCACTGATCCGGGGTCATAGTCCCACAGATAAACTAAATATGATACCTTATTGGGTTTAACCCCTTTTCAGGACTTAGACGATGGCTTCATTTCCCCAATCAGGGATACCGAAGAAGCACCTCTTTGACCGTCTTAATTGCGCAAACGAGCCTTGTTATATTGCCAAGTCAATTTGGAATCTGGGGCAGCTATCACTATCACGAGATAACATACTATATAATTGCTACCTAGCAAACAGTTATAACCACTATTAATTAATTTATTTACTTACTTCATTCACTACATTCCTAGTAAATAGCAACCTTGCCAAGTGCAGTAGGTACTAGATGTAGGTAGATATATTACAAGGAATAGGTAGCATTAAAAATAAAACTAGCAGAAAAAAAAGCTCTTTCTAACCATTTAATGCAAGATGTTACCCGTGGGATCTCAAGTTGATCAACTAATAATCAAATAATGCAACTACACTAAGAGAATATTCTCCGACCTATATCGGCTCATGTGATGATTACAGTAAGAATTATAGAAATAAATACTATGATCGACTATCCGATGTAGGCTTGACCTACGCAATATATATCCCGGGTCATATCTATCAGTCAGCATTTGTATGGTCTAATGCACACTATGATAACATAAGAATGCCTCATATTTGTAACTGTCTTGGACTCTGTCGAGGATCTAATAATACACGGTGGCAAATAAAACCTTTTCTACACCTTCTAGAAGCTGTGTATATTCAAAACTACTCGTATTACAGCAGTGCGGAGATGGGCGGAGAGTTGCGCTTCTCCGCAGAAACGCTCTCTCCGCAGCTCAATCTATTCAATATTCTAGAGCTCATTCTAGAATGAAAATAAAGTGAAGGCCAGCAAACGCACATAGGGTCCAAGAACATCTTGGCAAGGCTATAATACTAGGTATTTAGCAACGACCGAACGAGCTTCCTGTCAATCGGGCCATCCTCTGATGTTTGAGTCGGGCCTTAGCTACTATGTACGTACTGTAGTAGCACGCGTAGCGAGAGAAGCTGGCCTGTCGAGCTCTGAATACCCCCAGAGTCTACGGTGCTACCCCTATGTACGAGCCGCGAGTCCCCTACGAGTCAGGTTGGCTCTGGATAGGCTGGATACCTGGTTGCATCCAAGGAACAAGGAACGCACTGTGCCTCAGCGCAAAACCGATTAAGTAAGCCGAATTACCGAACAAGATCCCGGCCATCACTCCGTTGGATTTGGATTCGGACGCCCACAAATTCCTATCAATAGATCAGCCAAGATCCTGATCCTTGATCTTCAGGACAATCGACAGGAGGTTACATAGTAAGAACTCAACCTCCACATTGGCGGATTGATATCAAACTAGACAGCTAGATAATGTTTCCAAGTACCTATCTAGGTAGGATTAAGGTATCAAGTTGGTACTGGTATCCACGGACGAGCATTCACCAGAAACAGAGCTGCGGAATAATTGCAGCCGCAACGGCAGTGGACAATTGGCATAAGGCTTCTCAGGGTTACTCAATGGGGGTTCACTCCTTAGAACCTGGATTGCTCGCGGGTGAATCGTTCCCCGGTTTTTTAGATAGTACGCATTTCGGTAGCTCCGAAGTTGTCCGAGGTTCGCTAACTGCCCAGGTCAGTGGTAGACGGCTTGCTCCGCTTGCCATTAAGCCGAGATGAGTCCCTCGACTCGTAGTTTCTAACAAAAAAAAGAATTTTACTTCCCATAAAATGCGCTACATGTCCATCGGAAACTATGGATCTAAACATAGCCATAGAAAAGGTTGCAACATGTACACGGAATATGATGTGTTTACCTAACTTTGCTCGCATTGGGGGAGATCTAGATGGATTTACCACGTTAAGCTCTTGCCCGAGGATAATTCAAAGAGATAGGATTGCCGTTCCATGTTTCCGAGAAAGCTGAACTTCCTGGGGCCCCCGGACTGTGGCGTCAATAGGTCCAGACCCTAGGAACCGGACCGAGTTGAAACTTTTCCCCGACACGAGACGTACGTACCTGCAGCAGTCCCCTGCGTGAGATCTGAAGATACGTAGCATCATCACCAAGACATGTAGCCGAGCCAATGAGGAATCGTTGTCGTCTCTCCGCATTGAAGGCCGACCAGCTACATCAATGCGCACAGCGTAGAAAAGCCTCCTGATAACGATGGGTTTGTGAACATATCCATGATGTACCATAACTACCCTAGGTATCCCTTTCTTTCCAGTGGCATGGTACGGCTACCTTATCCGGATGCTTGATCGCTAATCTTCAGATGATACGGACGTATGATATACGTTGGTGGAAATAGACTGATTCGTTGAAATGAGCTGTCTCTGGTCTCAGGCTCCCCTTAAACAGCACTAATACGCCGCATTAATTTGTGCTTCGACACTCTATCGCTGATCGCGACGCAAGTCGTCATGGCTCGGTTTGTTCCGCGATTGCATCCAAGCACCTTTTAGAAACAACAATGGTAGCCAACTTTCTCATATTGCTGACGACTAACCTCCGTGGGGGTGACCCTCCGACTATTCCAGTTTAAGACTTTCCCAGGAGGGGTCTGGAGCGATGGCGTAAGATATGATAAGAATATTGCGCCGCTGAGAGGTGCAGGTTCCGGGTGCCTATTTTCAGCTCGTGCTCACCAAAGACCATCCTTTACGAGTTAATGCCATAATCAGTCGGAGGAGATTCTTAATACAGCTACCAAGATTGAGATAGCTTCCGCGATGCGCGTCGCATTAATATCCCCAGTTCTAATAGATCGTACTGCTCGAGTGAACTAATCGACCTGTGTACTAGCTTCCCCCAACCCAGGAGATAACCGTTAATACACGTGGATAACCGACGTAGCTGAGTGGATTTGGGTTGCGCGAGTTTTGGACCCTGCCATCATCTCCAAAAGGCCAAAGCGAAATGGCCTGCTCCGAAATCGTGTTAGATTATCAGCTCCTAACATGCCTAAGAAAGGCATTTCGAAATATGAAGGCAGTAGTTATCTTGATCTCTGCATCTTAATATTTGTTGTTGGGAGGTTGTTGAAAGCGTTTCTTGTATGTACTGGGTCTATATGAGCCCAGGTGTGTTAATATTTTACTAAAAGCGCCCTAAACGGGAACAATTGCGACGCGCAAAATAGGCGGCCAAGGATACCTAGGTAGTTTAGGCGGTCTTGTTAATCTGTATAGGAACTAATTATTCGATCCATGGATAAGAAGAGTGCCATATTTTGTATACTGTTAGACGAAACGCAATGCATTTTATTGTATCAACATGAATGTTGGAGACGATACAAGTGCCGTTACTGTGAACATCGATACATAGCAATATCAATGTATGTTTCGTACTGCGAAATCGGTTGAATATTTCGAACCGCCTCCGATATCGACGCGAATATGCAACAAACTATTTGCGTACGTTCTCGTCCATAATATTGGGAGAGAAGACTGGAAACATTTCTTATTAATCGAAGAGAAGGAGATGATTTCTAATTTCTTACTTCTAAATTCTTAAGTTCAAGTTCTAAGTTCTGGAAAATAAGGTACCTACCTACTACCCGCCTAGGTACGCACGATTAGGGAACCCCGCGTCACGTGTAATCGATTGCCGGCAGTGTTTCAAGGAACTCGGGACGATCAGCGCTGATCTGCAGGCAACCGCTATGCTAAATAGATCCATGGATTGAGGCTCAACCCTGTTGAAATTGAGAAATCAACCCCAAATCTCCAACAGCTGACAGAACTGACTTCCGATTTCCGACCTCCAATATTTTCTCTCACCGCTCGCCTGAGATACCGGTATAAGTCCGAACGATATGAGGAATAACGAAAATCAAAATCATCTCATACCAGAATTCATGATTTGTTCATGTAGTTCAATTGCTTCTCGATATCCATCATGAATTACGAATCTGTTCATGGTCAAGATATATCGAGCTTCGATTTGACTTCGACTCGTGAGGATTAATATCTAATTCTATATGACGCATTACTAATTCACATACTTTAGATCGGTTGCCTACAGTTTCGGCAGCTCAGGCACTTAAGGATCTTGGGACTAACCCTCAACGCTTTATATCTACAAACCTCGCATCCCTCGATCAAAATCTCAATGATGTCATCAGTGATGATAGCGACGCTCCCCCTCGCCCCGGCGGTTTGCAGAAGGGTCAAGTCGTAGAAATCTGGGGACCCCCAGGTTCCGGAAAGACTGCCTTTGGGTAAGAATACTCATAATCTTACGCTTATACCTATATCGTATTCTAAACCCGGTTATAGGATTCAACTCGCTGCGAATATCCTACGTCAAGGTGAAAAGGTTATCTGGGTAGGTTCGTGTTACTTCATTTATCACCGTGCAGTTCCCAACTACGGTTCAGCATGTTTTATTCCACGTGCCACGAAATCGTTGACCTATTTCACAGATGGGTTCCACCCGATATCCCCCCGTAGATTGTATGATGTGATCGTATCTACTCACTATCCGTCATCACCATCCACTACAACCCCCTTAATAGATAATCAAACGGACAACTTTCTCCATTTTCGAGCGCCAACCCTGGCTCATCTCATCGGGCTCCTCTGCAAGCCCACATCAAGTGCGATCCCAAGCAATACTTCACTTATTGTGATCGATACTCTATCTAGTCTAATCAACCATGCTTACCCGAGAAATTTCGAGACCCGGCGATCCCAAAAAGGTAACACAGCACAAACGTTTCACAAGTCGGCCACAAACCATTTGCTGATTTCACATGCAGGTCCCGGACCTTCGGCTAGAAGATTACAGGTTCTTCAGTTCTTGATTTCGACGCTCCAGAAGCTTGCCGCTACGCGAGATCTTTGTATTGTCATTCTGTCTCAGTGCGCAACGAGAATGCAATTCGAACGCGGTGCCACGCTTATCCCTGCTATTAATGCTGGCACCTGGGAGCAAGGGATCGCTACGCGACTCGTTCTTTTTAGAGATTGGGTAATAGAAAACGACATAGTACGCGACATCCGTTTTGTCGGCGTTCAGAAGCTAAATGGCAAGTCAATTCCGGGTGGCATCAGTCAAGTTTTCGCCTTCAATATTCAGGCTGTAAGTAAACCCTTCATACGTAACCACCCTAGGCTGCTAACCTGCATAGGAGGGTCTTGTCGGCGTTGACTTAGATGCGAACCAACCATCCTTGCCGCTATCACCAAGTCCGCATCTGAAGCGAAAATTGAGCCAAACAGATTTTGAGGTTGCCGATAGCGAGGGTGAGGATTACGGTTGGGAGGATGAGGACGAATTAGAAATGCCGGGCATGCCGCCCCAATGGCAAGGTAGTGAGGATATCCTCCTCGGACAGGCTGAAGAAGAAGATGCTCAGACGGAGGAAGAGTCATTAGATCAATCCATACACCTGGAAGAGACTACGGCAGACCTGAAATCGGGTCGTACCGGGAGCGATGGAGACGACTCCTAGTTGACAACGTTGGTTGTGGGTCTTGAAAAGCCTGGTCCAGCCTGTCTTGAATGTGAGACGCGCACATTCACGATAATACGTTCCATTTGAAAATTCTACGAGCAGCACTTATGCAGCTCCACCGGATCCTCAACATTCTCAAGGGACCATACGCATAGTAGGACTCCATGAAGAATCGGCCAAATGTCGGCTACTTATGCTTCTAGCTTTAAGAAGTCGGTCACCGCCACTCCACACCTCGGTCTTTCACGGCCCAATTCTATTCTTTAGGTCAGTTTATTCGGTCTCGGACCAGCCGTGCTACTATATTATAGTAGAAAAGGTGAAAATAACACAGAATGCTGCCGTGATAAAATTTTCGCATACGAACATCCATCCCCAGTGTGGGTCGCCGGACTGACAGGATTGTACAGACTTACATAAATGATATCTAACATCAATGCAGAACATCTTTATGATAGAGATACACCTGTCGATGCTAGTACTCAGATACCTTGTAGTATCATAAATGGCATCCAATCAACCCTATTTGCCGTCTTTGTTCGAGATGAAACAGCTGGTATGTAGAATAACATCTAATCAGAAAGGCGATGGCCGAAATTCCACTTCATTCAGGGTCCTCCTTGGTCGGTTCTTTAACCGGTCGCGGCACCTGGCTGCAGAACTGCGACCGGGAACCGTTGCATTGCACCATTGCGACTCAATAAATACAATCCTGCCGCCAAGGGTCCCGTGGAATAACCCCTGAGCTCCATTATACTGCCTGGGAGGAAGATATCGAGGACCTGGACTATTCGCCTGCTTCTAACCGGAGGCTCACCCTTATCTCAGTCACCGTCTCATTTCCACTCAACCTGATTGCCATTAAGATCACTCCCGGATTCCTGGCTTCCTACCGTACGATGGTGGATTTATAACTGCAACCCACCCGATCGATGGTATCATTTTCTTTAGAGGGTAACAGTGCGATCGGAGCTTAGCCGCAGGGGATCTATCGCCGGTCTACACCTGGAGAGGTGGCTACTAGCTAGCAGAGATGGTGTATCCGCGCGTCGACAAATGCATTTTGTGGCTCCTAAGCTGTCGAGCCATCCTGCGTCACACCATCGAATTCCCAAATACCCCTACTGTAATGATAATCTAAGTGTGATAACGCAAAGAAGGCAATCTACACCGCATGGATCGACTCTGCACTGCATTTCTGACCCCATATCCTCACTTTCGGCAAGGCTTGTAGATCATTCGAGGGCCTTGGCTCGACTCTAAGATTTTGAATGTCGGGGTTGAATGCGGAGAAAGAGGACTACTGGGCAAGCATACCGCTGCTTACCTTATGAAGAACCTGGTTCTACAAGAATATCTTGCAGCAAGAATGCAACCGGATATGCATTGCCTGCAGGCCGGCCTGTCCTCGCGCTCACCGGTGTACGGACTCGGGAAAGCCTTTCTACTACCCCTCGGAAGACTGTGCCGCGATTCCTGGGGAACTCTTAGCCACAAGCGAGAAAAACTCATCACCTAGCCGTGCAAGTCTCGATGCTGCTAGCGAGAGTTGTACGAGGTTGACCCTAACACTCCTGCCTGTTTAGCTCTTTCGGGCCACCTGTTCCTCCGTATTACACCCGTTAGGGAGCTGCATTTCCAAGATTTACAGCGTATATATATGACCTTAAGACTCGGGATATAGGATGTATGGTACCTAATATAGATTGACTGCCGCGTGCTGGGAATGGCTTCTAGGTCGGCTTGAGTTGCGTTTTGACATGAATCGAAGCGTCGAGACCGTTCTAAAGCGGATCTTGCTCCCAAGACATTAGCGAGGCTCTCTGGGATCTACAGGGCCGATCAGTTCGTTCCATAGATGACGCCGTGATGATACTTGGCTTCATATCTGCTGCGTAGTAAGCCTGTTTAGCAGGTATATATCTTCTGGGTACATATAGTGCGGCAGATAGGTATCGGCAGCTATGCAACCTGCAAGCATTTCTTTTTATTAAGACGCGACTCGGTGCAACTGCTGGTACGGCCGTTGCATCCCCTTTCGTTATCGGGATGCGCCGTCGATACGCCTCGGTCTCCCCTCCCCTCGCGGCGCCAGCAAGGTAAAAGTGATAGTTCACTTGTGCAACATATGATCCTTTTCGGTAGTGTTCGTTTCACAGCGACCCGGACCCGCAATCTTACGATCTGAGATCGCTTCAAGGGGTCCGGGGAAGCAGGAACGATAGGCGGTTCCTTGTTTTCGGCGGTTACCTAGGGGTCGCTGTTGTTACGACGATAGGGCCGGATGGGAGGCTTTAGGTCGGGGATGCTTCGCGGACATATGGATGCCCTTGCGGCTTAGAGTGAATGCCGTTATTGGTTGGCAGAGTCGTTTAATACAGTTTTATATAACCACCTAACCTAGCTTTCAAGAGGAACGGAGGCGCGCCTATGATTACCTGGTATCTACGCGGAAGTGGATATACGTCCTAAGTCGTACGTTAATGATTTAGTAGCGGCCGCTTTATAGGTGCATACGATTCGATGCTGGCTCCCTCGGTATAGTTCATCGCAACTCCCACCCCGTACCTCCGGAACGGGCTCCGAAGGTGCAGAAATCGCGTGGCAGATGCAGCGGAGGTTTGAAGAATATGAAACTGGAATCGAATCGTCCAACCAGAGATACCATCCACTGACATGTGCCTGGGCCTAGAGCTAAGGTGCTTGCCGATATTGGGTCAAGAGGCTAACGCGGTCGATTCATCCGTGATGTCCGAACTTCTGATAACAATAGCTCGTGCCGCTATAAAACCATCCTCAGGACTCCATAGAAATCTCGTCGCTACTTGAAGCTCTGTAGATAGTACTGGATCTAGTCATATAGCAATGAACCATGGGTGTGGTTTCTTGATAAGCTTCAAGCTGAGATTGTCAACCTATAACAGCAAACCACGTGCTTGGAAACCATAGTCAATACTAAGTATTGTAGTTGAGATATTCAACTCCGTGAAAAGATGTGACGAGAGCAATCGTGGTGTAGGTCTAACGAAGTCATTTTCTATAAGGTATTCGTAGTATTGGAGAGACGATATTTGCTTAGGTAATCTCGCGAGGCTAGGATTGAGGTCCGATATGGAGAATATCTTGGAGATGATGCTGTAAACTTGTGACGATAGGTAGGTACCTACTTATCTATATCGAAGAAAGCTGTATTCGCGATATGGACTTCGGTCGGAAATATTCATTGTTGCTTGCTTTGGTTAGGTATGAATCGCTATATGTGTTTTCCCCCTTCTCATTAACAATCTTCATCGTACAGTATATAGTAGATACCGTATCATCTCATGAGACTGATAGAAAATTGAAAAGGTGGTGCGGATTTGTCACGCATTTATTCAGATCATTTGAGGCTTCGGTTTATATGTACTGGAAGGAGGTATATATCGCATTAAATGACCTAAGGCTCTTTGAAAACACTCCGTATTAAAATTGACGAATCGACTGAAGATTTAAAAGTTATTTCTCGCGTTCTTGCACTGTAACTAATTCATAAATTTGAAAATGGAAAGAACTTTAGAAGTTATCGTGAGTGATCTGGGGAATGTGCGGATGGACAATTTGTTGGTACACGGGCCTCTTAGGTAGCCGTGCACGCACGATATCAGGACATTGTGGAGAAATAACCCTGTCACCCCTGACTGGAGCTTTCCATCATTTTTTCATTGGCAGGTACGAAACCTCACGATAAACTCATTCATCAACAAGCTTTCATCGCTTCGTTTTTCATCATTAAATTCAACAATGTTATCGAGGATCACCCAATTGCATTCGTCCAACTCATTCAATTTGCATTAAACTTTCACCGAACAAGTTCACCTTGGGCTATTCGGAACCGGTGAATTAGAAAATTTAATCACCAAAATCCGTTGATCATTAAAACGAACGTTGCAAACAATACTCTAGCGCCGCTATGAGATCTTGGCTTGGTACTTCTCCGTCTTGACGAGTATCTGATGAGGTGAACGATACGAGTCAAGGTGACTCATTGAAGTCGATTCAGATTGATTATACTGCTATTATCTGAGATAAGTAGGTACGTATTGCTATCGAGCGTCATTTACAGTTAATCCAATTACACAACTTGATACTTCATATTTTCTATCATCTTGTCTTTACCCAATACTCGTCACTAACCAGCTACCTTACTACGGTAGGGGGTAGGTACCTAATCTTAACATAACACATTCATTGCAATACATACTACAACTGACGCGCCCTCAATTAACACGATAAATATATTTCATCCTCCGTACACCATTCTTCCATCTTTCCCATTTCAATCCGTCTCATACTTCACCATCTATAACCCCCCACTAGTACTCATACAACCCTACTTACGATATCTGTTAATTTCGCGTCTAACATATTTCCATTAGCCAGGCGCAGAATAATGGCGACCGAAGCTGCAGAGACGGTGCAAGCTGTGAGCGACAGGATGGATAATATGGAGCCTGCTAGCTTCTCGTGGCTGTAAGTTAATCACTTTATCACTAATCTTATGATCTATATTAACTTAAAATTGTAGACAACCTCACGTCATTTTCGTCGTCATCCTCGTCGGTGAAGAAGAGATACCCTTCGGCATCCAGCTAGATTTCCTTTGTGCTAAGTCAACGTTCTATCGTACTCACTTCGCCAATAAGCAAGGTAACGAAGAGACCGAGAACGAGAAGATTGAGCTCGTCGTCAAGCTGCCACAAGCCACCCCCGAGGTCTTCGGACTTGTCCAGAACTTCTTATACACTGGTAGACTCTTCACTGACGTGGAGTCACTTCCTGGTTATGAAGTACTGATATCTACCTGGAAGCTTGGCCACGAGCTGGGAATTGATGGTCTCTGCGATGAAGCTCTTGAAGCTATGACTGAGTGTAGACGCATCACCCATCATATCCCCGCCACCCCCCTCCTTGTGCAGGCCTGGAAAGACGCTCCTGAGGGCTCTTCCATCCGTAAACTCCTTCTGAACTGGGCCGCCGAATATATCAGATCCTCCGAATCTCGTCAAGAGTTCACCAAGTCGCTTCCACAAGAAGTCCTCAGCGAGCTTGTAATTGCTATGAGCCATCTTAACTCATCGCCTGTCATACAGGTCAATCCTCTTCCATCCCCAACCAATCAACCTCGAAACAAGAACGTACACTACCTTGAGGCCGAGGAAAGCGATGGTGAATCTCACCATAAGGTACAGAAACAGCGTCACTCGGATATTATCCAGGCTCGCTCGAACCACCAGACCGAACGCAAGGTTGGACCCAAGAAGTCTGTCCCACGAGCGTCGCTACCTACGCTGAAACTCGTTAAGAAACGATCTAGCCTTGGTCATGTAGATGACCAACAATATTCATCAGATCAGAAACTCAACTTCTGCGCCGATCTTCTTAGTAGAATGCTGTCTGGCCCTGGTAAGCTCTCTCAACTTTATCCTTACTCTTCACTATAAAACCATTCACATTCATCCCACACCCTCATATTTATACTAACATGATAATAGGCTTCTGGACTCGCTTAGTCGGTCCCTTCCGTGAACCTGTCCGACCTGATGATGATGGCGTGCCGGATTATTTCGAGAAGGTCAAGAAGCCTATGGATCTCAGCACGATCAAAGGCAAGATGGATCGCCGAGAATATAATAACGAGCAAGAGTTTCAGGCCGACGTCCGTCAGATCTTCACCAACTGCTATACATATCACAAAAACGACTCGCCGATGTGGCTCAACTGCGAGAAATTCCAAAAGACGTTCGAAGAGAAGTATGCGACAATGCCTAAGTGGATTGCTAAGATGGAGGGCGACGAAGCTGCCTAATTCTCTCATATCTGAACGCTTTTGTTTATAGGCGAGAATCAGGTTACGTGGCAATGGATCTCTACACACTCACACTCACCCTCGCATAATTCGGTCTTAATACATCGAGGATGATTCAGTTAACCGTCTTGAGATTGGGATTTCGGTCGGTTTTGTACTTGTATAAGGAGGGGATCTGGCATATATTCTCACGGCCGGGCGTTAAATGGGACGTCTATGGCTATGGAAGTGGTAATTATTGCTTAGGCCTAAGTAAGGCCAGAGGATTCGGCGGTTTCTCGATACCAGATTAGTCTTTGTAGTAAATTTGAGGCTTTTGCATCACCTGCTTCTATAATGGAACAGATGTCTCTTGTCTAGAAGAAGACATCTTTTAACCGAGGATGTGATATTTGCAACCCCTTGGCTTCTGCTTTATAACATGCTGCAGTATTGTGGCCCCAATGCGTGGACATTCATGTCGGTCGGCCGTGATTATTGAAAGGATATGAAGTCCAAACTGCTACGTCCACAGAATAATGAACCTAGCACCATAGCACACGACGTTCCAACGTAGCTCATGACATTAAGTAACCTACGACTCTATCTAGCAACAAGCCAGACCAGAACCAAACATGCTGATCAGTCAGATAAGCACACATACAAATTCGCAACCCCTCGGGAACGCCCCTACCCTCTTCATGGATCATGGATCGTCTACCATATCATCGTAACCCACTACCTTCACATAGCATCACCTACATCTAGATCTTATACACCAAGTTTCCATCCGTGTACCTGTATATCTCGTTAGCATCGATTCCTACGTATCCAGCATATTTGGGCAAGAACCACACTTACATGATCTGATTCGCATCGTCCATCTTCTTAAGCGCCTTAATCGCCTCTTCTCGAGAAAACACGTCCCCGCGACCCTCCACGCGGCGGTTCACCGCGGCAATGACCTCTTCCACGTCCGCCGCGTCGTCGTCGAATAGGTCTGCGTTGAGGAGCTGGCCCAGCGCCGAGCGGAACATGGCTAATCTCTCCGGAGTGATCGGGGTGTCGATATTTAGGTCCGCGGCGCTAGACGCGAGGGCTGCGTCTTGCGTTTCTGTCTCTTGTGTCTCGAGCTGCGAGGCGGGCACCGAGGAGGCGAAGGAGAACTGCGATGTTGCGGGTGCGTTTGATGAGGACGCAGCTCCGCTTCGGTTGGGGCGTTGCGGTGTAGCGTTGTATATGTCATCGTTCTCCTCTGCATCGTCGTTTACTTCGGGGGAGCGGGCCGGGGTGCGGCCGTTCGCGCGACGGTTGCCGTTGGTTGATGGCTGCGTGCGGGAAGTCGTCCTGGATGAAGGGGCGACCCTACCACGAGCCGTCGATCCTCTGTAGCTGGTATCACCCCCATCGCCATCGTCGTCGTCGTCGCTGTCATCATCCTCACCGTCCGACTCGACTCGTTGGGTCCGTCTTCGCTTCCGCTTCGACTCGTCCGCGACGACCTCCTTGAACAGGGCAAAACGGAGGATTGCCTCAGCTGCTAGCGCATCCCGGTCGTCTACCCGATTGGAGAGCCTAGACTTGGCGTGTGCGGTTGCCAAACGGATGAGCGTTTCTAGGGTACGGACCGTCAAGGGAGATGTTCTCCTCTGGTTTCCTTCCATCTCATCGTTTCGTAGGCCGACGTATATCTCCGCGATGCGCTCCGACGCGTCCTGGGTTAATACCGGCCGGACCCTGTTCTTCGCGTACTGGATGTACTTCTTCATGAACGGGATACTTAGAACCTCCTTCCGCTTGTTGGCGCCGCGACCAGATGTTACAGTGACACCGGCATGCAGCATAGCATCGTATTTCTCGTAGACTTCGGTGACCGTCTGGGTGGCATCCTGGCTTTGTAATGCGACACCGAGGGCTTGTTGTCCGTTCTCGCGAACCGGAGCGCCTTCGTCGGTGCCGGGCTGTCGGTAACGGTGCATGCGCAGGACGTGTTCGGAGACCTGGCGATCTCGGGTATCTTCGATATCGTCCGTGACGACAAACAGCAGATCAAAACGAGATAGTAGAGAATCTGGAAGAGCAATGTTCTTGTGAGGATCCTTGTGTGTGTCGTATTGACCAAAGATGGGGTTGGCAGCTGCGATAACACTACAGCGAGCATTGAGTGACGTATGGATTCCTGCCTTAGCGATAGTGACTGTTTGCTGTTCCATAACTTCGTGGATAGCGACACGGTCAATATCCGACATTTTGTCGAACTCATCGATACAGACGACTCCTCTGTCTGCCATAACCATAGCACCGGCTTCTAGTCTTCTCTCACCCGTCTCCTTATCGGTCGTGACGGCAGCTGTGAGACCGACGCCTGAAGAACCACGACCAGTGGTGGCAATGGCCAACGGGGCGGTATTGAGCACGAAGCGTAAAAGTTGAGATTTAGCCGTCGAAGGATCACCAACCATGAGAATATTGATGTCTCCTCTTAGATGTGTACCATTCTCGAGATTCTTCTCCATACCACCCAACAACATGAGCAAGATAGCCTTCTTGATATAATCGTGACCAAAAATACTCGGTGCCAATGACTGCGATAAAAGTTCGAAGAGATTTTTCTTCTTTGAAACTTTGTTAATATTACGAATATCGGTGTCGGTGATGGTGGCGGTTGCTACACCTCCGCTAGCCTTAGATGAGAGAAGTACGATGTTGTTCGCTAGGATTATCGTCTTGAACAATGCGCTGTTGTGATTTGTATTTCGGTTTCCAAGTGTTCGGAATATGCCTACGAGCTGTACTCTGTCGCCTGGTTTTACTTTGTCGACGAGGTCGTCGTCTAGAATGACGTCCACGCCACGAGGTAGTTGACCGGCAGGGGCTCTCTCGGGCATTTCTTGTATAGAGATAGTCTGGTGATCTCTGTATGTACAGAATCCATACTCTGTTAGGAGTGGGTTCCCCTCTTCGTCTTCTTGGGGATAGACACTTGAGGTAGTTACACCGTTCGTCATAGTCTGGTCGCGATATTCGCGGAAGTGGAAAATATTCTTCTTCTCGTTGTAATGAACACTCTTGACGACTTTCGGTCTAATCAGCGAACATCTTGTGACAATACCTTCGATCGAAACCATATGATTTAGGTTATTGGATGATAGGGTTCTAGGATTGCAAGCGTTGAGACCGAAACTGCCAGCCCAAGCACAGTAGTACAGGACATCTTGATCAGTCTGGTCTGGTCGAGCTTGTGGAATGGTCTTTACAATTTCCTTGAGCGCATGGTTGAATGCTAGGGTAAAATCGAATGGGTCGAATAGTAGACCGTCTGCGAGTTCGGTATTGTGATCGCGAACGTGGTCTAGGTTGACTACTAAACGCTTTTGATTCTTCTGGAGCATTAGGATGATATCGGATCGGTAACTCCTCGCACGTGGATCATCTATCCAGGAACATACTCGTCAGTATCGCAATACTTAACACATAGCCCGTTGGTGAACTCACGAGGATCGAGGAACTCCTCAGCCAAGCGAATGCGCTCCTTGGCTGCTTCATCTCGAAGCATAAAACTGTCCATGATGCCTAATTATCTTCCGTAGTTGTGACCGAAAGTTGTAGAGAAACTAGGTAGATCACTAAGTTGAAGACGTCTATTATCTATTCTTCAGATAATTGCGGTGGGATAGATCATAGATAGCAATCAAGTGGGGAGATTTCCAAGGTTATTCTTAGACTGGAATTGGTTGTTTAGGAAAGGGGCAGAGGGGAATCAAAATCCATGTCGCGTCCCTGACCGCGTTTTTCGCGTGTCGTGTTTAAGTGGTTGCAGATGTCCCACTTGATTAAACCTTGATATGGCAAGCTATTTCGTCCGATTATCTCCGTGCGGGTGGAATAATTTCATCATTGCACTTGCCTTGTAATTCTTTGAATCATGTATTGGGTCTTGAAAACCTTTGACAAAGATACCATTTTGATTGTTTTTAAAATCGTCCGTTTAGGTATGCCAAAATACTACTAGAGACGACGCATCTATCTACACTTGGATAATTCTTGTGATATTTAAGTAGCACTATGTAGGTGGTTAGGTACCTAAGCTACTAATTACCTTGTAAAGGCTTCAATTAGGTATTTCAGGGCAGGTTTCCAAGGTTCCTTCTTATAAATTTAAGTAGTTTGTCGAGAATCGCTATTGAATTTGCTCTATTATACATTCATATATTTAGATCTAGATCTAGTTGTATCTAATTAATTATAAATCATTTACGTAAAGTGATTCGAATGTGTTTCATGCATTTCGGTCAAGAGAGCACTTGCCTTACATGATTGATTGGTGTGACAGCCCCTAGAAGCCAACCGGTGAAGCGTTATCAGCTTCCTAGTGAAGGCAGGCGCATAAATATACTGGCCTAGGTACCCGGTACTGGTGGTAGTAGTGGCCTAAGCGTGTCGGCACCAGCCGAAGCTACACCTAACCCGCCCCCAATTCAGTCACTCTGACGGAAGTCACTACTACTCCTAATTCATGCGGCGACAGTTCCAGAAGTCGTAAACTTAAACTTAACATCAATATCCTAACGACTACGACGAAACTGGACTCTGGCTCCCATCTGTCGCTTTCGCATTCGATCCCGGGGTCTTCATTGCTTCTGGCAAAGTAGGAAGAAAGTAGGAAGTCGGAAGTAGAATCAGAATCATGGCAGTAGGACTTTCCAACGGCCGCCATGCTGCTGACGAGGAAGCTCGTGCCGAGGTCGACGTGCTCAATTCGCGACTAGAGAAGACGACTCAATTAACCAAGAAGATCCAAGCATGCCTAGGAAGATTAGAAGCTACTGGGAAGAGCGTGCGAGATGTATCGGGTCCCCTTACTGGCGAGACTAAGAAACTGCAGGTCTTAGGGAATAGTCAGTTCATTTCCCCTCACCTTGCCCTACTATTCCGCAGGAGACTTCCTTATACTGATACTGTTGCCATTCTTTAGACATCGAGGCAGTCATCGCAGCTATTGAACGACTTCGCCAGCCTGCCGATTCCAAGAGCGATGAGGAAGCCATCATTCGCCAAGGTCCCGAAAAAGCCGGGTTATCCAACTACCTAAACTCGATCAAGCGGTTGAATAAGGCGCTGGAAAATATGAAGAGCTCGAACCTCCGTGCAAACCAGCAGACGATTGCTGACCTCCAACGTTTGATAAAATCTGGCAATACCCAACTGGAGAATTCGTTCGACAAGATGCTGCGGGGGGAGACGCCGCGATCGATTGAGCCGCTGCAGTACACGACTAAAAATACACCATTCCCCCTCTTGTCCCAAGACAAGATTTCGCGCCTAAGTCTTATGAACTCTTACGTGTCCGGTAACTCATTGTCCGAAAACCCACTAATCAAAATCTATGCCGATGTGAGGGCGCAATATCTATCACAAACTCTCATAAACCTTGCATACGCGAGCGTCAATACGGCCAAGAAGAAGAGCCCCGATGCTATCTACCGGGCCGGTACCAATGGGATTGGCATGTACGCCCAAGCAATGGAAGGCTTATTTGTTGCCGAATACGACAACATCTGCAACATATTTATGCGACAGGACTGGGGGCCGGCTTTTCAAATGACCTGTCAGGCCCCGCTGGCTGAATTGGCGAGAACAATCCGCGAGCTAAACAATCACATTAAGGCCCATCTCAACACAGACTGTTACCTCGCATATGAGGTCACCGAGATTATGTCCAATCTGTCCAACAATATCGAGGAACGCACGGGCGAACTCAAAGCTACCTTGGCCGCCGCATTGAAACCAGTGCGTGAGACGGGCAAGTCTTCACTTGCCGAGCTGCTCGAGGACACGAAGCGAAGGGTGGGGGCACTGCAAACTCTCCCCGCCGATGGCTCACCAGTCCCTGTGATCTCTGAGACGATGCAACGCTTGCAAACCATGGTTGACTTCCTCAGGCCAATATCAAGCATTATGATATCGCTAGGCGATGGCGGGTGGAAGTCGGCCGCAGCAGCGAACACTAGCATGGACGGGATACCTAGTTTGGCATCGTTCGACATCGGCGCTGACGGGAAGGATATTTTCGCGCATTATTGCACCGATACGATCGATGTCTTGATGTCGGCGTTGGATCAGAAGGCGAGGGCATTACTAAAAGGGAAATCGGTCTGGGGTGTCTTTCTGGCCAACAGCATAATCATCGTCGAACGTATGGTTCGGGATTCCGATCTAAAGCCGCTCCTAGAGGGTAGACTCAGCAGTCTGGAAGGTTGGCGCAAAAAGGCGAAGGCATACTACTCCGACGCGTCTCGGGACGTGTCAATGCATCTGCTAGACACGATCCACACGAATCGGTCTCAGCGACCCGCTTCGGGTTCATCCGAATCCACGTCGATCCTGAAAGGGCTGAGCAGCAAAGACAAGGACAATATCAAGTCCAAGTTCCAAACTTTCAACGCAACCTTTGATGAACTAGTGGCTCGGCACAAGACTTTCAGCATGGAGAAGGAAGTGAGGCAGATGTTCGCGAAAGACGTACAGCAGATGCTCGAACCTCTCTACAATCGCTTCTGGGACCGTTACCACGAGATAGACAAAGGCAAGGGCAAGTACGTCAAGTACGACAAGTCTTCTATTGCCGCCGTCTTCCTCAGCCTCTACTAAAGAGGTACCGAGTCATCTGCCGGCAACTGCGACTGCGACTGCGACTATTAGCAATCTGAATCATTTGAGCGTCACGAAAATGTCCCAGACGAATCCTGCGAAAGCCTCATATGCGGCGATCATCAGACGATTTCGTGGTATATGCTACAGTATAATCCAGGATTGGAGTTGTAAGTTAATATCTATTTATTTCCGGACATGCTTCACATGCACGGCAGCTAAAACCTGAAAGCGAAGCTTGGTTGCGAGTGGGGGTCACAAGGCCAAGGTGACTGAATCGAGGAGGGATGCACCAACGAAGCCTCGTTATGGTACCAAAGATTTGGAAATGCATGCAGCGACGGGCGACTCTTGTTTTTGTTCTTCCTCTTTTGTTTTTGTTTAGAAGTATACCGTATACCCTTTCGGACCGCCCTGGAGTTTGGGAGAGTAGTGTTGCAGGAGGATCGCCGGCAGACCCGGTCATACAGTATTCAAGAAGTATCCTTATATCGAGAGTGGTCTGATGAGCTGTATCCGACGTAAGACGATTTACTGTCGTGGGGAGCAGCTCCACTAGGCCGGATCCCCAGAGAAGATGAGATATCAAAATGTGATATGTGACTAATTGTTGCTGGGCTAGACAAAAAAGATACGTGCCTGCATCGACGATCGAGGGAACGTCGAGTCATGGGGAAACCCGTCCCCAAAGTAACGCCTTGTCTACGGAAACTCCTTCACCACAGATTCCAAACCATGGGAATTCTTGTGGGCCTGGGGCTATCTGCGTTGCGTATCGCTTGGCATTTGCTGCTTAAGTAATTCCTTCCCTACTCGGTCGACCTGCATGCAGGAATCGATGCTTTTCTAGCAGGGCCCGGGCCTTGGCCCCTCAAGGTGAGGTCGGTGAATTTCGGGTCTAGCTCTGAAGTTGATGCGCAAGGGAGCAGCGGCGACCGCCAGAAACCGTCACGATTCGCATTTGCTGCGTCCGGTCCATTCCCATTCCCATCAGATGGCATTCGAGGGATCCAAGGGTTCCAAGGGGGGCGGGCTCACCTTGGTATTACCTATTGATTAATCCCCTCCATTGCCGTATCCGTCTTCCACTTCCACTTCCTATACCATGTAGCCAGGTGGACCACCAAGTAGCAATGTGGCTCTGGCCCTAGACCCTCCGTGCGTGCTTGAATAACCTGGAAATGTACCCCTCTTTCCTAGGGTGTACCAGTTTAGGTATTGTGTCTAAAGCATCCGTCGTTTTCGAGGTCCTCTGCGATCTTGACCTAGGTATGCTACATAACCCGCGCACGAATATCTGGCTAATAGCTCACGGCCAGTCAGTTCTGCCACACCCTGTATGATTTGCGGGTTACACAGCAGCTAGCAGCAGCAGGCAACAGCACAGCGCAGCGCAGCGATGCCCAATTCAACTTCTATATGGCTCCACAAGATCCGTCGATTCCTCCAACTTGGGAGAACTGACGAGACCTCTGCGAGCTAACTAACTGGCTGCTTCGCTACTACCCCGGCCAGCCTTTCTTGGTGAATGGTAGGCCACACCCTACGTACGCGCATCTACATGCGCGCTGGAATTATTGTGCCTGCCGTTACCGTCTTGTTGCACGGACAGAAGGCGGGCAGAGAGGGTATAGAAGCACAGACTGTCAATCCCATTCCCCAAGAGTCTAGTTCGCTCGGCCGGTCGTAGCCTACTAGTTAGGTCTTGCAGCCAGTTCGCTGGTAGCTAGGAACAAAACGCAGCTGCGGCGAATGAGAGACAATCTACATTGTGTTCTCCTGCAACCCGCTATGCAGGACCGGACAGGACAGGAACGATTCACGCTGCATTGACCACACACCCTGTCCGCCCGTGCTCCACTAAGTTCAGCAACACTTTCGCCCCCTTCCAACGCGACATCGCCAAGTCTGCTGCTTTACAGCGATGCATGCTGCAGAGCGCCCTCTAGCGCCCTTCCTACAGGGCTGGGACTACCTAGCTGCTGCAGGTTGGCGGAGCGCTTCTCGAAGCCCGCTTGCTTATTTTCCTCTTAGATGATGCGGACGCG